GGTCTGTATGTGGGATCCGAACCCTCGGCGGGAGCGTCGCCGCGCTCCCAAGCGGCGCACTGTAGCAGTGCGCCACCAGGCCGGCCCCTTAGTTCTATTTTCTAAATCATCTGTTCATGTTTTCCCCCACTTATTTATAGTTAATGTATCTTGCCAATTTGATGATCTATTTATTTAATCATGTATTAGACTGTAAAAATACTAAATGTTTACTTTTAAATAAAATAGTGAAAGTTTTGCTTTCCTCCTTAGACCCATAATCTTATGTCAAGAAATAATTACTGTTATGGGACTAGCCAGTTAGCTCAGTTGGTCAGAGTTCAGTGTTGTAACACCAAGATCAAGGGTTCAGATCCCTGTACCAGCCAGCTGCCAAAAAAAAAAAACAGTTAAATTCAGACAGTAGTAACGCCTTACATTACTTTTTTTTTTTTTTTTTTTGACCAGTATGGGGATCGCAACGCTTGGCACGGTGAGGTCTGCGCCACGCTCAGCCAGTGAACTCACCGGCCATCCCTACATAGGCTCTGAACCCGCAGCCTCAGCACTACCAGCACCGCACTCTCCCGAGTGAGCCACAGGGCCGGCCCACATTATTGGGGTTTTTTTGTTGTTGTTGTTTTTGGCCTGTATAAGGATCCAGACCCTTAGCCTTGGTATTATCAGCACCATGCTGTAACCAACTAACCAGCCCACCCAGTACTATCTTTTAATTCTATTTTTCTGTAGACTTTTTGAAGTATTCTCCTATATTATAGAATTTGTAATTAGAATTCGGATAGTATCCATACACTGGTAATTCAACAAAAATTTACTGAATGGCTAGCTAGGTTCTGTAGATACAGCACCAAATAAAACAAGATTCTACCTTTGCAGAGTTTAAATTTGAAGGAGTGGAGACACAAATGCCTACATAAAGCAGGTGGCGGTGACATGAAGAAAAAACAGGGTAAGAGAGATTGAGAGAGGTTAGGCAGGGCAGGACTCTTTGAAGAGGGAGTATTTGAAGAGAGCCCTTGAAGAGATGGGGAAGCGAACCGTGTATTTATCAAGTATTCCAGAAAGAGGAAACAGCAACTGCAAAGGCCTCAAAGGTCTGTGCTTTCCTGATACTTGGTGTGAAATGCTTTTAACAGTAACATTTAGAATCACTGCAGTAAGGGAAAAGTTGGCTAGTGACATTTCATGAGAGGCTTCACGTGAATGTCTTTGGGGGGGTTGACATTTATGGGGGAGAGGAAGCAGAGATGGAACCTCCATTTCTGCTTGGATTTCAATCAGAAATTTCCCCCTCCCGCCAGAGGTAGCAGAGTTTAAAACAGCCTTCCAGTGTCCCAGCAACAGCAAAATGTACATGGAACTGAAGGTTAAATAATGCAAAAATCTTCCATTAAAAAAAGTTTTAAGATATTTTCTGGGCCGAGCCTGTGGCGCACTCGGGAGAGTGCAGCGCTGGGAGTGCAGGAGCGCTCCCGCTGCGGGTTCAGATCCTACATGGGGATGGCTGGTGCGCTCACTGGCTGAGCGCGGTGTGGCCGGTCACAAAAAGGACAAAAAAAAAAAAAAAGATATTTTCACATAACTTTTTTTTTTTTTTTTTTTTGTCTTTTTTACTGACCGGTAACGGGATCGCAACCCTCGGTGTTGTGCCCGTACCACGCTCAGCCAGTGAGTGGGAACCGTTCGCCACATGGAATCTGAACCCTCGGCGGGAGCGCCGCCGTGCTCCCAAGCGGCGCACTCTCCAGTGCGCCACTGGGCCGGCCCATAACTTCTTAAAGGAATGAACACGTTAGGAGCCAGCCCATGGCTCACTTGGGAGAGTGTGGTGCTGATAACACTAAGGCCACGGGTTTGGATCCCTATACAGGGATGGCTGGTTAGCTCACTTAGGAGAGCATTGTGCTGACAACACCAAGTCAAGGGTTAAGATCCCCTTACTGGTCATCTTTTACACTCAGCCAGTGAGTGGGAACCGGTCGCCACATGGAATCTGAAC